GAGGAGAGGAGCTAATGAGAGCAGATCAGAGCAGAGGAGAGGAGATGAGAGGAGGAGAGGGGAGGAGAGGAGAGAGCTTTGAGGTTTGTGTTTAAGAATTTATCAATCGTTAACTTGCCCTTCTCCTCGCCTCCGACACTTTCTGTCATATCCGTGAGATGGGAAACTAAGATGGATAGGACGACAGGACAAGACAGGACGAGTGGAGAGCAGTGCAGTGCAGTGCAGTGCAGTGCAGTGCAGAGCAGGGGAGCGGAGAGGAGAGGAGGGGAGAGGAGAGGAGGGGAGAGGAGAGGAGAGGAGAGGGAAGAAACATGTAGCGGTAGTGAACGAGAGAGTCTGTGATGGAGGAAGAAAACCTCAACGTAAGTAGTCATCTCCTCCAAGGCAGATGACAGAACTTGAACTTTGTTGCTCTCCTCCTCTAAGGACGTTCTTAACAACCTCCAGGTCAAGTGAGAAGCCTGAGGGAACAAGAGAGGGGGAGGAGGAGGAGGAGGAGGAGGAGGAGGAGGAGGAGGAGGAGGAGAATGGAAGAGGGAGAGGGAGAGGAGAAGAGAAGAGAGCGGCTGCAGTGGAAGGACAGGGGGAGCGAAAAGAAAAGCGGAGGTAGACAAGGGAAAGAGGAGGGAATGGAAAAGCAACAGATTGGAGGAAAACGAGGAGAAGAAAAGAGAGGGGGAAGGGAGGAGCAGGAGGAGGGAGGAGAGAGGAGGAAGAGGAGGAAGAGGAGGAAGAGGAGAAGGAGGAGAAGGAGGAGGAACGACAATGGCATGCTCGAGCTTTGCGCTGATGTTGGAGAGGTCGGAGGCCTGAACGTCAAACTTGGTCCGCATTTCCATTATCTCCATCTCAAGCTTCTTGTTCTGTTATGGCAGTCAGCGAGTGGAGGGCAGAAGTAAGAGGAATGCAAACAAACAAACAAACAAACAAGCAAGCAAGCAAGCAAGCAAGCAAGCAAGCAAGCAAGCAAGCAAGCAAGCAAGCAAGCAAGCAAGCAAGCAAGCAAGCAAGCAAGCAAGCAAGCAAAAATGCAAGAATGTCAAGGAGGAGGAAGGTAGAAGATAGACACAAAAACAAGAAATTCAGGAAGCATCCGAATGCTCAGGAAGACTGTCAATGTCAGAAAAGATGAGACAGAATGCAATTCAGAGATTATGAAATCGGACAAGACAAGACAAGACAAGACAAGACAAGACAAGACAAGACAAGACAAGAAAAGACAAGACTAAGGCTTTGTTGTATCACATACCTCCAACTCCAACCCCTCGACTTTATTTCTCATGCCCAAGTTTGTCTTTTGCTGCTCCTGATACGATCTTCGCATCTCATCGATCGTCTCATTCTGAAACGTTCAAATATCAAAAACTCCCGCCGGCCTGCTCAGCCTCTAGCTCGCAACATTTCACCCCTGATCTCTACCGTTTCAACCTGCTTCCTCTCAATCTTCAACTTCTCTTGCTACAACTTCAACTATCCCCTTCACTTTTCATCTCCCCCATCAAATTTTGATCTCCTCACCTTGCCGACTACGCGCTCTCGCTCAGTCTTCACCCTCTCCTCCAGGTCTGCCTGCCTGCGATCCGTCTGATCCAGAGCCTCCTGCCAGGGGGGAAGGAAGAGGAGGGGAGAGGCGATGGGGAAAGGGGAGAAAAAGAAGGGAGAGGAGAAGCGATGGCGAGAGAGGAAGAGAAGAAGGAGAGAGAGGGGAGAAGCGCAGGGATGGGGAGAGAGGAGGAGAGGCGAGTAGAGACGACGGACGAGGACGAGGACGAGGACGAGGACGAGGACGAGGACGAGGACGAGGACGAGGACACGATCAGTGAAAGTCTTCGTTGATTCAAATTCTCCTCACTTTCAGCATGTTGAGGTCAACATCCTGCGATTTCAAAGTAAGAAGCCATGAACATCCTTTCCCTCCTCCTCCCTCTGCTCCCTCCTCCTCCCCCTCCTCCTCCTCCCCCTTCCGTTCTTCGCTCTCCACCTCACCTTCTGGTGCAACTCCCTCTGCAGAGCCTCCATGGCTGCCGTAAGTTCTTTGATCCTCATCGTCGACAGTCTGCTTGCTTCCTTCTCATGCTTCATCTCGTTCTCCAGCACCTGATGCTGCTCCTCCTCCTCAGCTCGCTCCCTCGCATCCTCCCAGCTCACCTTCGCCAGCTGGTCGTGCAGGTTCGCGTCCAACCTCACGGCCCTCTCCTGCTCTTTCTGCAGGCTCTGTGCGATCTGGGGGGCAGCGGCGTGAGGTAAAAGAGCAGTAGGAGCAGGGGCAGGGGCAGGGGCAGGAGCTGGGGCTGGAGCAGGTGCAGGAGCAGGAGCAGGAGCAGAGCAGGAGCAGGAGCAGGAGCAGGAGCAGGAGCAGGAGCACAAGGAGCAGGCGCAGGCGAAGGCGCAGAGAGAGGAGGAGGAGAAGTAGCAGGTGGAGGAGTTCTCAAGCACCTCTCTCTTGGACGCGATCAGACTCTCGACCTTGTCCTCGAGCTCTTCGATGTGTTCTACAGCAAATGTCAACGTGAGGAAGAAGAAGAGGATAGCAGTTGGTGGAGCAGGAGCAGGAGCAGGAGCAGGAGCAGGAGCAGGAGCAGGAGCAGGAGCAGGAGCAGGAGCAGGAGCAGGACAAGCAAAAGAAGTAATAGTAGTAGGAGGAGGTGGGAGCAGGAGCAGGAGCAGGAGCAGGAGCAGGAGCAGGACAAGCAAAAGAAGTAATAGTAGTAGGAGGAGGTGGGAGCAGGAGCAGGAGCAGGAGCAGGAGCAGGAGCAGGAGCAGGAGCAGGAGGAGCAGGAGGAGCAGGAGCAGGAGCAGGAACGGGGGGGGGGGGGGGGGGAACAAATTTTGTCCGCTGGTTTCGGGTTGAACACCTCACCAGCCTTTTCCGGAAATTTTCAGGGAACACCCGGGGGGGGGGGGAAAAATTAAGGCTTCCTTTTTCTTTTCCCTCCTCTCAGCCTTGAAAAAAAAAAAAA